CTGAGCAGGCACTGGTTGCTAGAGAAGGCTGAGGAAGCAGGAAAAGCTGACAAAAAAGGTGATGTGTAGGGCCCTGAACACAGCAGTTTGCATCTTTGAAGAAAAAAGCAAATGGGAAGCATAATTTTGAGTCTGGGAGGTGGGAACAGGGCAACCCAGGGCTGCCAAGTGGGTCATGGACTCCAGTCCCCAGCTGTGGGCTCTTTGGAGGGACCTCCACCCCAGCCCATTGCTGGGGCCTGGGACAGGACACGCACTCTGTCCCCCAGCCTCTAGCACGTCAAACTCACCCAAATCAACACCAGAAGGTGGGAGCACCAGCTCCCCCCTCTCTCCTGCAAACCAGTGCCAGGCTCAGCTGCACAAAAGGCCCCTTTCACCTTCACTGCTGCTACTAACCCTTTGGCATTCATGGCCAGCATCCCTCCCTAGGGAGTCAGAGGGTGCAGCTGGGAGCTGCCCTGGGCCCTGGAGTTAATCTCTCAGCATTTCTCCTCAGAAGTGGAGATGAGAGAGTGGGAGACCACAACCTCACATGCAAGCCCTCAATTGCTCCTCTGCCTGCTGGAGGAGAGAGGAAAGGAGAGGCAGAGGAGAGTGGATGGCAGCAGACAAGGTGTTTTAGCCATGTCAAAGCTCCAGTGCAATGCAAAGATGCTCCTTGGATGGCACAGAGCTGGATCAGCCTCTTAGGGTGCAGTGCCCACGAAGAGCTTGTCCTGCCCTCCTCCAATTGCGCCATATCACTGGACACTGGGGGCTGTGAGGGGCATGGGACTCTGCCCAGACTGCCAGCCCCCATCCCCTTCCTCTGCATCCCCTGCAGCAGCCCCACACCTGGCAGCAGCCAGGCTCTCCTGCACCTTCCAGAGCCTCCAGGGGCTTGACTTCTGCCTGGCTCTGACTCCAAACCCACCTGCCCATCCCTGACCAGAGAGCTGAGCCAAATCCTGAGACTCGTGGGGAACCTGGGGAAGGAATAGGGGAAGAAATGGGTTTCCCCAAATGTAGCCTAGCAACAGGCACCCTGCTCTGTTGTCATGCTGGCTGGCAGCACCAGTGGCATGTATTTTAAAACTGGAGCTCAACAGTGCCACGGGGACAGGGGTTTCTTCACCATACCACTTCGGGGCGGTGGGCAGTTGTGAAGATGGTTTCTTAAGGTGGAACCACAGCACAGAGGCCGCAGGCAGATTTTTTCAGTGATTCCGGTGGCTTGCCAGTGCGGCTGACTCAGTCCCTCATTCTGTGGTTGTGCCGTTAGCTCTGCCCAGATGAAATCACATCCTGCAGCCTGCCCTGCAGCATCGGGCTCTCACCCACCCGGGCCAGGCAGAGCAGAGGAAAGGTGTGCATGACTGTTCCCAGATGATCCCTGGAGAACACCTGGTGCCCAGCCTGCCTGCACCTGTCCTGACTGTTCAAAGTACTGGGGCACAAGGGATCCCAAATGTCTGCCTTGGCTACCTCTATAAGGCTCACCAGCATGGCCCTGAGGAGAGTCTCTGGCCCTTGCTGTGTCTGGTGGCAGGGCATCCTGCAGCAGCCCCACTCTCGGGTGGCTCTGGCAGGGGGATGCGTCCACTGACTCCAGACAGGGACTGGGTACAGCTTCAGCCATCTCTTCTCTCCCCTTCTCAGAGCAGGGAAGGCTGGCAGGGCAGCCCTGGGTGCTCCTTCAGCTCCACACACTGCCCAGCACCAAGGGAATGAGCATCGTAACTGGGCTACTCAGCAAAGCTCAGGCACTGGCTTGTTACTCGTTTCTTTGCATTTCTGCCTCCAAACTGTCCAAGGGAGTGCAACAGTGGGGGGAGCCAATCCCTCGCTCACCTGGGCTGTGGGACGTGTGTGTGTGCGTGTGTGCGTGTGTGTGTGTGTGTGTGTGTGTGTTGCTTTCAGATTGCAGCCCGGGGTGGGGGGGAGAGATCCCAGTGTTTTGGGCAAACTCCCTCTGATCTGCCATGGTTCATGCCTCACTTGTCCCTATCCCACCAACTGTTGCTTTGCCCTCCCCTCACACCAGCGCGGTCCCCAGCATTGCCCACCTCCCTGCCTGCACCCTGACTCACCGGAGAGCTCCGGGCTGGTGTTGCTTTCAGATTGCAGCCCGGGGTGGGGGGGAGAGATCCCAGTGTTTTGGGCAAACTCCCTCTGATCTGCCATGGTTCATGCCTCACTTGTCCCTATCCCACCAACTGTTGCTTTGCCCTCCCCTCACACCAGCGCGGTCCCCAGCATTGCCCACCTCCCTGCCTGCACCCTGACTCACCGGAGAGCTCCGGGCTGGCCTCCAGACCCCAGGCAGAGG